AAGCTTTGAGGATCAAGCTAGATTTAAATTCTAGCTAGATCATTGAAAACATGGAAAATTGACTTAAACAACTGTTTCTTTTTCTGCATTCTTTTCATTTGCCGTCATTCTTTTGAACAATTTTAGCGGTAATTTAAAAAGTTTTAGAAAATTTAGAAAATTTAGACAATCTAAAAGATTTCCTTTTTAAGATTTCCTTTTTAAGATTTCCTTTTTAAGATTTTCTTTCTCTTTTAAAATTTCTCTGAAAAAATGGGTGCGGCTTTCTTTGATTGATCACTCGATGGGGAACTCTTTGATAACCTTTTTAGATATTTATTGTTAATCCAAAGTTATCCAAATTTATCCAATGATATCCAAAGCTGTTTTTTAGCTTTAAAATTCATTTCAATGTCTTTATAGTGTACTTTGTGTGCTCCATAAACGCACAAAGTACACCATAAAGATCTTAATGCTTCATTCAATAAGAGATTGAACAAATTAACGCTTGGACAGCTTGAAAAAGCACTTGTTTTTGCAAAAGCTTTCTTAAATTGATTGAAACTCTTTTTGTGCGCTCTTTTTATGAATTTTGAGAGGAATTGAAAGGGATTCTTTGAGAAAAGACAAAAACCGGGTTAACGATCTTGAGGAATTGAGGGGAGAGTCGTATTGCCATATTTACATAAATTGCCATATTTACAAAAAGACTTACCAGTAATTTTTTCTTATAAGCTCTGTCTGAATTTCTCGATTCCTTCAGCTGATTCTTCTTCTTCTCATCATCATCACCATCATCTTCTCCTTCTTCTTCTTCTTCTCCTCCTTCCTCTTCTCCTTCCTTCTTCTCTCTCTTCTTCTTCTTCTTCTCCTTCTTCTCTCCTTCCTTCTCTCCTCCTTCTTCTTCTCCTTCTTCTTCTCCTTCTTCTTCTCCTCCTTCTTCTTCTTCTTCTCCTCCTTCCTCTTCTCCTTCTTCTTCTCCTTCTCCTTCTTCTTCTCCTTCTCCTTCTCCTCCTTCCTCTCCTCCTTCTTCTCATCATCATCATCTTCCTCTTCTTCTTTCCTTGCCCCTTAATCCATTCAATTCACATACAGATCCATTCACATACCCGAATTTCTCCTAGCAAAATGGTGTCGTAAAATCGAGAAAGAAAGGGTATCTTTTCAATGGAATGGCCTTGTATTCTTTCTCTTTTCTTTCGATAGACAGGGTTGTATCATCGACTATTTCCTTTCCCTTTTCAAGACAATACACCCTCATAACAGCATAGTAAGATTAGTTGGAAATAGAAACAGAAATCCTCTCCTTCCTTTCTTCTTCTACCTTCTGCCTCTTCTTTGCTTCCTCTCCTTCTTCTTCACCCTCTTCTCCTTCTCCTTCTCTTTTCCTTCTATTCTTTTTCCATTTCTGGTTTGAAATTGATTAAAATTCTTGCTGTTTTTCATTTTCCCAATTGTTAATCTCTTGAACTGAACTCAAAAACTGTCTTCTTAATCGCTCATGTTGTTTGAACGTAATTGTTGCCTAGATTTGTTGCTTGGCATTGACCAAGCAACAATCTTAATCTTAGTTTCAAAAATCTTGGTCTTGGTTTTGAAGCCAAGATCAGAGTACGAGCTTTAGCCAAATTCTAGAGAGCTCTTTATCAGAAGCTTTTCATTGAAATCCATCAATCAGTCTCACCCATTAATCTTCCAGCTATTGTCTCGCTTTTTGTTTCGTTTCATTTTTTAGCTTTTGTTTTTGCAAAATCTTAATAAACTTCTCTCTCCAGATGCCTGCGAGAGAACCGTTTTATTTCCCCAAAAGCATCACTTTTCCCAAAGTCTTCATCAAATTCATCAAATGATTCCAAAGAGTCATCATCCGGATTATCCCGATCACAATGGCTACTGTAGAAAGATAAATCAATATATAGTTGTTAACAAATCAATTCCCCTTAGGTTGGCGGAGTGAGATGCCGATCGGCGAGTGCACTGTGCTTTAAGAGATCGACCTGCAATGCGTTTCGACTCGAGATTGAGGTTGCAAGTATGAGATACTCTCCGTCATCGGGAAAGGATCATTCTCACAGGTTTGCTTTAGATCTATAGGTTTTGCTATGGGTCTATAGGTTTAGAGTCTAGAGCATGCTCGGGTCAGGGGATTCGGAGTCGTTCTAGACCTTGGGTCGTTCTAGACCTTGGGTCGTCCCTAGACCTTGTCTCGTTCTAGACCTTAGGTCGTTCCTAGACCTTAGGTCGTTCCAGACCTTGGGTCGTTCCTAGACCTTAGGTCGTTCTATGGACCTTGGGTCGTTCTGGACCTTGGGTCGTTCTGGACCTTGGGTCTTGGGTCGTTCTAGACCTTCTCTAGACCAGAGCTTTGATCTGGGTTTGGGATACAACCGGATCTGACTTTGGATTCGGATCAGGATCAGAGAAGGTCTAGAGGAAGGATTGGATCTGGCTCGTCGGCTCTAAGTCAGGCTCTATTACGCTCCATTTCCCGGCTCTATTCAGCTCCTAGTCCAGCTCCAGATCAGGTCATTGAGGTTGAGCAGGGAGGCCTTAGCTTGACTTGGTTTGATTGTTTTATCTGCTTAGATATATCCAGGCCAGTACGCCACAAGAGCTCCGTCACCATCTTCGTTCCAGGTGCTCCGGGTACGGCATCGAATCTCGAGGATGTATTTCGCGGTGAAACTTTGGCGGCTGATTTCGGGCTGTAAGTTTTAGCTTATCGCTAAGGACTTATCCCATTTTCCAGGTCAGTATTGGATTGCACATTTCTCACCGACTCCAGCATCCCTAATATGATTCGGCTAGAGGAGGTAGAAATCTTTACAGTCAGGTTCTAGGCGCGGCTAGGAGCTCCTAGGCCCTCCTAGGCGCTCCTAGCCGGTCCCCTAAATGGTCCACTGCTCAGGTTCCTAATCGATTCTGGTCGGATTCTAGTCGATCTCTCGTTGATTTCTAATCGATCCTAGTCGGTCCTGGGCCCTCCTAGTCGGTCTAATCGGTTCTAGTCGATCCTCTTTGATCTTAGTCGGCCCCTAGTGGCTCTATTCGGCCCTATTCGGTCCTATTCGGCCCCTAGTCGACCCTAGTCAGCCCCTAGTCGACCCTAGTCTCTGTCCTAATCAATCCCAAAGCTACTCTTAAAGACAACGTCTATTCTTTTTAGGTCTTTAAATGCGTCATCCCGTTTATTTATTGTGATGGGTTAGCATCGGGTGGTGGTGAAATGTTGATCAGTGGTGGCTAAAGGACGTCCGGTGGAACAGAGGCCAGAGCGGCGCTGAAAGTCAGTGCGAATGTAAATATTGCTCAGAAGCTAGTCAAGCTCTTGTCTTGCAAATCTCTTTCTCTTCCCAAGCTCTTGCCCAAGTTTCAATTCGGATATTCAGATGCTTCCTCTCTGGCCTTGCCTACCTCCGTTCATTCGAATTCCGCGTCCCTCATCGAGATCTCAAGCCAGAGAGGCACCTCTTGTTGCGGATACTAGCTGAGTCGAGTGAGACTTGTCTTACTGTAGCTATGGAGCTACTGTAGCTAGATTACTGTAGCTGTATACTTTGAGAATTTTCTTTTTCATTTTTTGATTACTCATTCACCGGATTTCAGCCTCGCTCACCAGGCGACCCCGTTCCGGCAGAACACAATGACGGAAACGTGCCCGGAACACCCGGTATATCACTTTACGGAATTGTTGCTCCAAGATTACCGCATGCTTACCGATAAGGTAGATAAATCTATGAAAATTATCTAAAAATTCAAAAGTTACCATCAATCCAATCCCCCCAACACCTCCTCCCAGTTAACTGACCTTTTTGCAAGGAAAAATGTGAAATTTTAACTTTGCATTGCGCGTTCTGGATGTCACAGCGTACATTAGAGTCCAATTTACTTACCTTGACAGGTTTTAGAACTTTACTAGTTAGTCGCCTAGGCTGTCCGGAGGGTGTTCTTTGTACTCTCTCATAAAGAGAGCATGAGGAAATTTTGAAGGCATTACTCATTCTGGATGTCACGGCGCGTACGTTAGAGTCAATTTACGTGCCCTACCTTAATCCTTTAATTACTATTACTCTGATTGTACTAGCTAGTCTTTAGCTATTCATACGTGTACTTTGTGCGTTCTCGTAAACTTTCGCTTTTTGGTATACTACTCACCACTTTACACCGCGGTTTAAATTACCCAAAAGAAGCCAAAAAAACAGAAAAGTACTCTAGAATCATTAAAATTAAAGAATTTTTTTGCTTCAAAATTAGGGAACTGGGGGGTTTTGGGATGGAGTTGATGAGATTGATGGGAATTGATGGGAGTTGATGGGGAGTTGATGGGGGTACAGTGGGAGTTGATAGGATGTGATGGGGATTGATGGGAATTTACATGAGATATGTTACTGGCCCACTTGGTTATTGTGAGAAGGAATTGATTGGTTTTATTGCCTAATCTTTTCATGGTGGACACGTAGGCTGTTGGTGTGATTGCGTACATTTTAATGTCGGGGAATCATACCGTTTTGATGACGATTGTCGGAGTCGGCTTTATACGCATTTATTACAGCTAACTATGTCTGCTACTCCACAGGTGGGAGTGATGTGGTTGGATGGAGGCATGGATGCGGACTAGAGCTAGAGCTAGAGCTAGAGTCTAGAGTCTAGAGTCTAGAGTCTAGAGTCTAGAGCTGTTCAGAGCCAGAGTCTGGGGCTAGAGTCTGGAGGCTGAGGCTACAGTCTGAGGCTGGGGTCTGGGGCTAGAGCTGGTGTCTGGGGCTAGGGTCACAGGGGCTGAGACTGGAGTCTGGGGCTGGGGTCTGGGGCTAGAGCTAGAGTCTGAGGCTAGAGTCTAGAGGCTGGGCTGGGGTCTGGGGGCTGAGCTGGAATCTGGGGCTAGAGCTAGAGTCTGGGGGCCAGGGCTGGAGTCACAGAGGCTGGAAGCTAGGTCTGGGGCTGGAGCTGGAGTCTGGGGCTGGAGCTAGGGTCTGGGGCTGGAGCTGGGAGTCTGGGGCTGGAGTCTGGGAGGCTAGAGCTGGGGTCTGGGGCTGGGGCTGGGTCTGGGATCTGGGGGGTCTGGGAGGCTGGAGGCTAGGTCTGGGGCTGGGAGTCTGGAGGCTAGGGCTAGGAGTCTAGGGGGCTGGGGGCCTAGAGGTCTGGAGGCTGGAGTCTGCGGGGCTGGAGCTGGGAGTCTGGGGCTAGAGTCTGGAGGACTGGGCTGGGAGTCTGGAGGAGGCTGGAGGCTGGAGTCTGGGGCTGGGTGATGAGCCTGGAAGCTGAGCTGAGGCTAGGGCTAGGGTCTGGGGGCTAGAGTCTGGGGCTGGGAGCCAGAGTCTGAGGCTGGGGAGTCTGGGGCTTGGGCTGGAGTCTAGGGGCTGGAGTCTGGGGGCTGGGGCTGGGTGTCTGGAGGCTAGAGTCTGGGAGGCTGGAGCTAGGTCAGGGCTAGATCTGGAGGCTAGGGCTAGGTCTGGGGGCCCAGGGTCGGGAGGCTGGAGCGGGGTCTGGGGCTAGGGTCCGAGGCAGCAGGGGCTGGGGTGGGCTCAGGGGCTGGGATCTGGGAAGCAGGGAGGCGGGGTCGGGGCTGGGAGTCTGGGGCTGAGAGCCAGGGTCCAGGGGCAGTGGCTGGGGGGCACGGGCTGGAGGCTGGCGAGTCTGGGGAGCCCAGAGCTGGGTCTGGAGGCTAGAGGCCCTAGAGTCCAGAGGCTGGAGTCTGGGGGCTGAGCTGGGGGAGTCTGAGGCTGGAGCTAGGTCTGGGGCTGGGGCTGGAGTCCCCAGGGGCTGGAGTCTGGAGGCTGGGCTGGAGTCCCTGGGGCTGGAGGCTGGGAGTCTGGGAGGTGGGAGGCTAGGTCTGGGGCTGGGAGTCTGGGGGCCGGCGCTGGCGTCTGGGGCTGGAGCTAGAGTCTGGAGGCCAGGGCTGGGGTCCAGGCTAGGGTCTGGGGCTGGGGCTAGGAGTCTGGGGCTGAAGCCAGAGTCCTGGGGCTGGAGCTAGAGTCTGGGGCTGGGGTGTCTGGGGGCTAGAGCTAGAGCTCAACTGGGGTCAGAGGCTGGAGTCTAGGGGCTGGAGCTGAGTCTGAGGCTGGGGTCTGGGGCTGGAGCTGGAGTCTGGGGCCTGGAGTCTGGGGCTGGAGCGAGAGTCTGGGGCTAGGGTCAGGGGCTGGAGCTAGAGTCTGGGAGGCTGGGTCTGGAGGCTGGGGCTAGGTCTGGGGCTGGAGTCTGGGGAGGCTGGCACTGAGAGTCTGGGGCTAGGTCCAGGGGCTGGAGCTAGAGTCTGGAGGCTGGGCTAGGTCTAAGGGGCTAGAGCTAGAGTCTGGGCTGGGGGCTAGAGTCCAGAGGCTAGAGCTAGGGAGTCTGGGGGGGCTGGGAGCTAGAGTCTAGAGGCTAGAGCTAGAGTCTAGAGGCTAGAGCCAGAGTCTAGGGCTGGAGTCCTGAGAGGCTAGAGCTAGGAGTCTAGGGGCTAGAGCTAGGTCTAGAGCTAGAGCTGGGTAGTCTAGGGAGCTAGAGCTAGAGTCTCTTTTCTTCTTCCCTCTTTCTCTTTAGCTCTTCTTCCCATCTTCTTCCTATCTTCTTCCTATCTTGCTTCCTATCTTTAATATTTGGTTTTTTTATAGTTTTGGTCAGGATCAGAGTTGGCAAAGACGTTTGTTGACTTTGTTTTTGGAGACAAACGCTGGGGAGAGGCTGACTGCAACACAAGCATTGCAACATGATTGGATTGTTGGTGAGTGGCATTTACTTCCTTTGCTTCCTTTACTTCCTTTGCTTCCTCTACTCCCTTTACTCCCTTTACTATCTAGTTCACTGAATTTGACTGAGTAGAAGGGAGTTTTAGATTCGGAGAAATATATTCCTGTGCAGTAGAGGACTTGCGTTTACTCCCTGCTTGATATTACTCCCAAAGTACCCCCTGTTTCACAATTCCTGTGAAACGGGAACTCCTTTGAAACAGGACTGGTCGATTTTCTCACTCAAATCTCATCCAATTCAATTCTCTAGGCTCTCACCGTAAACTATGGAAAGCACAACGATATTTAAAGCTAATAAATCGAAGCCAGTACCATAAGACAAGTCCTAGGTCTAGAGCTCTTCTGAGTCTAGAGCTCTTCTGAATCCTGGAGCTGGTGCCTAAGCCAAAAGTGTCAGCCACTAGACTAAACTATAAGAAAATGTTTTCAGGGAGAGACTCGCACAGCCTATCCAATCAAATCACACCGTCTAGCGAGTATAACGCTATGCAAAGGGTATGTTTTTGTGTAGATAATGTAGTTAAAAGTCTAGTGAAAGTCTAGTGACAGTCTAGTAAAAGTCCTGCAATTTCCAGCTCTCAAATTTCCAGACAAAATCTGACGAGATCGATCCGCTCAGTTACTCGTCCGATCACGGACACCGCGTTGATCCAAGGTATATTGTGACTCGGCTACCGTAACCCTAGTACTATTGTACTATTGTACTGTTGTACTGTTGTACTGTTGTTTTGAAAGAGTACGGTAGAAGACTGAACATTTGTTTCCAGAGAAGTCGACCAACTCGCGCAGGATCTTACAAAAAAGCCGCTCAATCGACGAAACATTATGGAGTGTTTTGAGGTGAGAAAGATTCTAGAAGCTTCTAGAAATTCTAGAAGCCTTCCCGTAATTGAAAGGCTTTCGCTGACCGTTTACAAGTTTAACTGACCGTTTACAAGTACAACTGATCAAAAATTTAAACGCTATTGCTCATTCTGGATGTCACAGTGTACATTGAAGTCCAATTTACGGCACTTGACGGTTTTTAGAACTTTTACTAGCTAGTCGTTGGCTGTTCAGAGATGTACTTTTTACTCCTCGTAAACGCGCGCCTTCAGCACACCGCTTATCACACGTTCTGGATCTCACACAGTAGGATAAGCGTGTGATTTTTGCTCGTTAAATGTTTAAACTGTTTACTTTTCAGATGCTCACTCGTCTCACCGGAAAACAAAAAAAGAAGAGAGCTAAAAATTTCTTTCAAAAATCGAAATTTCTTTTTTTTTCTTCACATTTTCACGCAAAATTTCCACAAAAATCAGTTAATTTTCGAATTTTTACTCAAGAAAATCCCTTAAAGTCACCACTTTTGTCAAGAAAATCCTTTAAATTCACAATTTTGTCCCTTCATTTCCCTCGTTTTATGCTCAAAATTTGCCTTAACACTTTTGAAGCCTATTTTTATTTAAAGCTTTTTTAAAGCTTATTTGGGGTAAGCTAGTTTCCGCAACTTTTTTTGTGCAACTGGGTCATTTGTGCAACAGGGTCGTTGCGCACTCACCATAACTTTCTTCCAATTGGGCTAATCTTTATGATTTTGATTTGATTTTGTTGCACTTATTGAGTTCTACAAAAATGAGGACCAAAATCATAAAGATTGGTTCAATTAGAAGAAAGTTATGCCGAGTTGCGCAAATGACCCTGTTGCGCAAAAAAGTTGTGGAAACTAGCCTACCCCGCTTATTTTAAAGCTTTTTTTTTTTGCTAAAATTCGAATATTTAATGTACATATGATACGTGTAGTTAATTTTAGAGAAAAATGAAAAATTTTAGTTTTATTAGAATGGAAATTTTGGAAATTTTGAAAATTTTGCTAATTTGTTTTCTTTCTCTAGTCCAACAAAAATTTTGTTGAAATTAAAAGAGACCTTTGAAATGCAAGAGAAATGCAAGAGATTTTAAAAATGCTTTAAAATTGAATTCGAAAAAGGTATCATTTCTAAAAGCCGTAATCTGACTTCAAAAATCTTTGATATAACTAATTTTTTGAAAAATCCCTTCCGCCAAGTGATCATAAGTGTACAAAGAGCAATTTGGCTTACTATTGGGAAATCTTACTTTCTTTTTTGTTTTTCATTATTTTCTGTGCTGTTTTCAAAAGAAATCTTTTTATTTTAGTGATGGGAATCAACTTTCTGATAAAGGAAAGGAAGGAGATGAAGCAATGATGAAAGATGGAATGGAATGATGGGGAATTAATGATCGAAGCGATGAATGGAGCTGAATGAAGCTGAATGAAGATGGAAGCAATGAATGAAGCTATTGACAAGATGGAAGCAATGAATCAAGCTGAGTGAAGCTATTGACAAGATGGAAGCAATGAATCAAGCTGAGTGAAGCTATCGTCAAGATGGAAGCAATGAATCAAGCTGAGTGAAGCTATCGTCAAGATGGAAGCAATGAATCAAGCTGAGTGAAGCTATCGTCAAGATGGAAGCAATGAATCAAGCTGAGTGAAGCTATCGTCAAGATGGAAGCAATGAATCAAGCTGAGTGAAGCTATCGTCAAGATGGAAGCAATGAATCAAGCTGGTGAAGCTATCGTCAAGATGGAAGCAATGAATCAAGCTGAGTGAAGCTATCGTCAAGATGAAGCAATGAATCAAGCTGAGTGAAGCTATCGTCAAGATGGAAGCAATGAATCAAGCTGAGTGAAGCTATCGTCAAGATGGAAGCAATGAATCAAGCTGAGTGAAGCTATCGTCAAGATGGAAGCAATGAATCAAGCTGAGTGAAGCTATCGTCAAGATGGAAGCAATGAATCAAGCTGAGTGAAGCTATCGTCAAGATGGAAGCAATGAATCAAGCTGAGTGAAGCTATCGTCAAGATGGAAGCAATGAATCAAGCTGAGTGAAGCTATCGTCAAGATGGAAGCAATGAATCAAGCTGAGTGAAGCTATCGTCAAGATGGAAGCAATGAATCAAGCTGAGTGAAGCTATCGTCAAGATGGAAGCAATGAATCAAGCTGAATCAAGCTATCCACCCTACTGGCACGATTTGAGAAGGGAGTGAAATACACTGATCAATTGGTGTGAACGACCGATTTTCCTGGCAACATCGTTGTATTGGAAAGCTGCTTCTCAAAAAAATGGCAACACAAGTAAACTAAACTTTCAAAGATCAAATCAATAATCGATTGAGCGTTCCGAACTCTGTTGTTCATGCTTAAAACAAGGTTATTAATGAGTTTTTGATCCACAATTTGCCAAGCTGCAATCAATCGCTTTTTTGAATGAATTCACTTCTGCATACGGTCGATTATTGACATTTTCTACATTTATCCTAAATGTTTTCTCGTGGCGACATATTCGGATTGAGATGGAGATGGAGATCCTATTTGAGGAGATGTCAAACGTCAATGTCAAACGTCAATGTCAAACGTCAATGTCAAACGTTAATGTCAAACGTTAATGTCGAATTTGTGGCTTGAATGATTAGTCGTTGCTTCGGCTTTGTAGTGCTGGCTTAGTGCTCGGCTTTGTAGTGCTCGGCTTTAGTCCCTGCTCGGCTTTAGTCCCTGCTTGGCTTTCGTCTCGTATGTTTCATTCTATCATAAGCGGTTGGATCGTTGAGATGATGAGATGAATCAATTGGTGTGAACGACCGATTTTCCACAATTTCTCGACATCTGTCCCAGCTTGATTCATTGCTTCGATCTTTAATTCCCCATCATTCCATTCCATCTTCCATCATCGCTTCCTTTTCTTTATCAGAAAGTTCTTTCCTTTGTTGCCATCACTAAAATAAAAAGATTTCTTTTGAAAACAGTACAAGAAAATAATGAAAACAAAAAAGAAAGTAAGATTTTTAATAAAAGAAATTAAGATTTCTCAACAGTAAAATTGTTGATTTGGGAAAGCGTAAAATTGCAGATTTTTGCCGATTAAAAATGCCGATTCATTTGCCGGAAGCGATTTTGGTTCTTTTTCAATATCGGGGGAGCGGAAGGATTATCGGGGGAGCGAAAGGAAAATCGGGGGAGCAAATTTTGGCAGCGCTACATATGTCCTATTTAAAATTGTGACGAACGGGAGCTTGCTTTGTTGCAAAAAGTTATCGACTCGAATTCCTCTTGAATGCTTGAGGACCTTTCGCGGTGCGCAAGTGTCACATGCCCAGCGAAATAGATCTTTTCCCTTTGAGCGGACTTTCATCGATTCGCCACAGTTTCAAATCCACGACTGGATGACTTCTTTGGTGACGAAATAATCGATTGCCGTCGATTTCTTGAACGCACAAATATCGGAGAAGCGCATCGTCGTTAAAGTTTTTAAAAACAAACGTTGCAGTTAAAATACAGTCCCGGAAATGCATTTTTCGAGGGGCAAAATTGTTCACCCGATTTTCCTTTCGCTCACCCGATAATCTTTCCGCTCCCCGATATTGGAAAAGTACCGCGATTTTTCGCTTGCGAAAGAAGTTGAAATCAAATTTCTTCACTTTGTCTTCTGTACAACAGCTAGCGTGACCCGAATGCTGAATTCCTTTATTTCGATAAATCTTTATTCTTTTTCTATGCACAATATTGTGGCTTCCATCCGTCGATCGTCGGCGCATCGCAAACCCAAAACATCGCACTCGGATGGTAATTCTTCGATACAATTGCGTCTGGTCCAAGGGAAACATACTGTAGATTTGATATGGATTACAGGCAGTACTATATTCAATATCATCCAGTATTTTTACAGATTTATCTATTTTACGGTCTATTTTACAGACCTATCTTCACAGTATTATATCCTCATCTTCATTTAGATGTTACGTCCAATCTAGACTGATTCTAGATCGGATCTAGAGTGAAATGAGGTCAAACGTCCGATCTAGAATCAAGCCGATCACTCTAAATCAGTCATTTGATCCCAGAGTGATCGGCTTGATTCTAGAACGGGACACCGACTCTAGGAATGGACACCGATCCTCTAGAATGGACACCGATCCTCTAGAATGGAACCGATCCTCTAGAATGGACACCGATCCCCTAGAACGGCCACCGGATCCTCCCCGGGACGGCCACCGATCCTCTAGAACGGCCACCGATCCTCTAGAATGGACACCGATCCTCTAGAATGGACACCAATCCTCTAGAACGGCCACCGATCCTCTAGAACGGCCACCGATCCTCTAGAATGGACACCGATCCTCTAGAACGGACACCGATCCTCTAGAATGGACACCGATCCTCTAGAATGGACACCGATCCTCTAGAATGGACACCGATCCTCTAGAACGGCCACCGATCCTCTAGAACGGCCACCGATCCTCTAGAACGGCCACCGATCCTCTAGAATGGACACCGATCCTCTAGAATGGACACCAATCCTCTAGAACGGCCACCGATCCTCTAGAACGGCCACCGATCCTCTAAGAATGGACACCGATCCTCTAGAACGGACACCGATCCTCTAGAATGGACACCGATCCTCTAGAATGGACACCGATCCTCCAAGACGTAACATATTGAATATCATGCAGCATTTTACAAACTTATCTTCAGTTATATTATCTTATCTTCGTATCCCTCACCTCATTTGTATCCCCTGCAGCCGACAGCGTTGGCCAAGTGAATCCGGTCTTGAGCCCATTGGCTGGAGTTGGGTTCCTAAAGGATTAGTTCTAAAGAACTAGTTCTAAAGGATTCATTCTAAAGACTTAATTCTAAAGAATCTTTCGAGAATCACTTCTAATAGAATTCAGCTTAGAATACAGTAGACTCTAGATGATCAAAAGGCCAAAAAAAAGTAGTAATCTTGGTAAGCAAAGGGAATTTAGTTTGGTTTAAGAATACTGTAGCTAAGGTCAAGAAGACTGTAGCTAGTGTCTAGAATACTGTAGCTAGAGTACTCTAGAGCTAGAATACTGTTGCTAGAACACTCTAGAGCTAGAATACTGTAGCTAGGGCCTAGTCACCAAACCAGATCCTGACTCAAAGACGAACATTTTATAGAATACTCTACATTTGTACGGTGTACTTTCCTCATAAGCGTAACTTTTGGAGATTTAGAACGATACCCATAGAGAACGAAATTCGTCCACAATTTCCCCATAAGCTCCGTGGTTTTCGTGTCATTATCAGTCGTTGGCCATGAGTGTCCGTCGTTGAAAATGTATTGAAGTTCCCAGCCATGGGGGACGCCCCGCAAGGCTGTGATATTCTCTTCCGGGATGGCTGAAAGTTTTGAGCTGTTCTGAAGATCAGCAAAATGGTTTTAAACCGTTCTGCAGATCTGCAAAATGGTTTTAAACCGTTCTAGAGCTCAGCAAAATAGTTTTCGACCGTTCTAGAGCTCAGCAAAATGGTTTTAAACTGTTCTGCAGATCTGCAAAGTGGTTTTAAACCGTTCTGCAGATCAGCAAAATGGTTTTAAACCGTTTTAAAGCTCAGCAAAATGGTTTTAAACCGTTCTAGAGCTCAGCAAACCGTTTTAGACCGCTCTAAAGTTCAGCAAAATGGTTTTAAACCGTTCTAGAGCTCAGCAAACCGTTTTAGACCGCTCTAAAGTTCAGCAAAATGGTTTTAAACCGTTCTAGAGCTCAGCAATCTGCAATTCTAGAGCTATTTCACTAACCAGCTGGATTCAAATAATCGAACGAGTAAAGAAAGACATCGCTGCCAGTATACGAGAAATATTTAGCGTCTCGAAGCGCTGGACCGACGAAAACCATCTCGGAGAAGAGCTGGAGAAAGTTGAAAGTCAACAGAGTCAACAGAGGAAGTCAACAATTTTTTACTCAAAATTCACTAATTTTTATCTCAAAATTCACTCAAATACTTAAAAATACAAAAAAAACTATTCTAGTTTATGTATAGCTATAGCTAATTGTACCCGGATATGCGTAGAAGCCCATTGGATTGAATCCGTATCGCTGAACGGTTGATTTTCTGTGTATTTCTTGGGACAAGCTTTTGTCACATCGTCTGGAAAGGTTTATAGAGTTGCACAGGTTTATAGCTGAAAAGGTAAAGCTTGAAAGGTTTATAAGCTCGAGACAAGCTTGAAAACAAAGCTAGAGCAGTTCTGGAAGGACCTTATTTAGCTATTTTACAAACTCTATTCAGCTATTCAGCTGAACAGCTAACCATCGGCTATTCAGCTAACCATCGACTTACCCTGTTTATCCCAATATGTCATTTCGTAGGAGCTGGAAAGCGAATTTTCCACATTCCCTTCGTGAACCATTTCAGATTATTTGTAATCAAAGATTGATCTAAATAGATAATTGATCTAATTGATCTAAATGAATTTTCTTCTCCATTTACATATAAATCTTCATTTACCCCATCCAACCCATTCATCCTTTACATCGCCAACTAAAACGGGCACTTGTTGCCGTAAACGAGCCAGATTCTCGAGGCGTTGTGGCAGAATATTCGTGTCCTGCAAACGTTTTTGCGTTACTGAAGAAAGGGATCGATTAGGGTAGTGTGACATTTGGAAAGGCTATTGTTTAAAGGCTAAAATGGCCAATCTGGATGTCACACTAGATTTTCAAAATCAGAAAATCAGCATTTACGCAACCTAAGACACTTTGGTAATTAGTGTACATAGGGGTTCCCCGTATTTCTTATATAATTTGTACGACAATCCGATTTTTTAAAGGTCAAAATGGCTAAGCTGGATATCACAATAGATTTTCAAAAATCATAGAATTGCCATTTAAGCAACTTAGGCACTTGGGTAATTGCGACGGTGGCGGCGGCCGGTTATTCCCTAAGCCTTTCAACGACAATCTGGTTATTTAAAGGCAAAAATGGCCAATCTGGATATCACAATAGATTTTCAAAATGATAGAATTGCCATTTAAGCAACCTAGGCACTTGGGTAATTGCGATTCGGTGGCGGCGGCCGGTTATTCCCTAAGCCTTTCAACGACAATCTGGTTATTTAAAGGCAAAAATGGCCAATCTGGATGTCACCCTAGATTTTCAAAATGATAGGAATTGCCATTTAAGCAACTTAGGCACTTGGGTAATTGCGACGGTGGCGGCGGCCGGTTATTCCCTAAGCCTTTCAACGACAATCTGGTTATTTAAAGGCAAAAATGGCTAAGCTGGATATCACAATAGATTTTCAAAATGATAGAATTGCCATTTAAGCAACTTAGGCACTTGGGTAATTAAACCGGACGGCAGCTGGGTATTCTTTGATACACTTTGTACGACAATCCGGCTGTTTAAAGGCGAAAATGACCGCTTTGGATGTCACACTAGTTTTTCAAAATTAGAAAACCGGTATTTATGCAACTTAGGCACTTGGGTAGAGCTATCTCACCTGAACGGGCGCCCATTTCATTCGATGATTTGGCAGCTGATCATCAACGGACATGATCGAGGCGGCTTTCTTGCTTTGCAGACACAAAACAATGTCCTAGATCTCGGCTAGATATTGAATTCAAGTCTTTAAATCTTTTTAGGCAAAATCAGCTCAAAAGGAATGAAATCAGTGGGGCCAGATGGCTTCGCCAAAAAGACTTACATGGAACGATCGACCTTGATCATAGTCGGCACTCGTTGTACAGCTGGAAATTTGTAGATGTTCGATTTAGATTTAGATTTAGATCTAGATTTGGATCTAGATTTAGATCTAGTTCTAGATTCAGATCTAGATTCAGATCTAGATTTCGATTTCGATTTTAATATTATAATTTAGATATTAGACATTTAGAGATATCCACCCGAGCCTTATCGCTAAATCCTTTGTGGTATTTCGCGTTTTCTCCGAGTAGGACATCAAAGCAGCGCCGAAAGCGCTACCGGACTCGAGAATGAGGCCACGATAAAGGCCTGGAAAAAGAATTGAGATAAAAATAGAGAGATTCTAGATTGATCCAAGACAAACCCAGCCCCCAGGGACTCAGTGAAACGAACGAGGCCGCCTCGGAGCCAGCGCTTTGCCCGCCGACAGTCACCTGAATGTTTGGGTGACTGTATTACTACTCTAGAGTACTGTACAGAGTGCTGTACTTAGAGTAGTACAGAGTACTCTACTGTACTTAGCGTAGTACAGAGTACTGTACTGTACTTAGCTTGATCTACCTTTGTCGGATCTCCACCCGAAAAACGAGATGTATCTCTGGACCCAGTTTAGAGCTTCAAGAACGTCGGAGATCCCTGCGTTCCCGGGCGCGTCGTAGGTTCTAGTTGTTAGGAAACCTGGAAATTAGATATCGAGCACGTAGAGCATGATTTAGAGCTTTCCTTTTCCACAATTTTCCCTCACCAAAAGCTCCAACACGATAGTTCATCGAGACAACGATCAACGGGCCACGATTGATCAAATTCGAGTACATCCCACCACCCAAATTACCGTTTCCACCTGAAATTTGAAGAGTTTTTGTTGGTTCTGGATGTCACTGTCAACAATAAGCACTTTTACTTTGTGCTCCCTCTCTGGTAGACCGATCGACGCCCAGCCGCCGCCTCACCGCCCCGGCTAGATTACCCAAGTGCCCTAGGTTGCGTAAATACCAATTCTATCATTTTGAAAATCTAGTGTGATATCCAGATTGACCATTTTAGCCTTTAAACAATCGGATTGTAGTACAAAGTGCATCAAAAAATACCCAGCTATCATCCGGCTCAATTGCCCAAATGTCTAAGTTGCGTAAATGCCGATTCTGTCATTTTGAAAATCTAGTGTGACATCCAGATTAGCCATTTTTGCCTTTAAATAACCGGGTTGTCGTACAAAGGCTCAGAGAATACCCCACCACCCCCGGCTAGATTACCCAAGTGCCCTAGGTGGCGTAAATGCCGATTCTGTCATTTTGAAAATCTAGTGTGACATCCAGATTAGCCATTTTTGCCTTTAAATAACCGGGTTGTCGTACAAAGGCTCAGAGAATACCCCACCACCACCCGGCTAGATTACCCAAGTGCCCTAGGTGGCGTAAATGCCGATTCTGTCATTTTGAAAATCTAGTGTGACATCCAGATTAGCCATTTTTACCTTTAAACAACCGGGTTGTCGTACAAAGTGCATCAAAAAATACCCAGCTATCATCCGGCTTAATCTCTAGCTCTAGAATCATCAAAATTGAAGGGATTTTGGTGAAAATTTGGGAAGCCGGGTTTTTCGATATGGGAAATTCGATGGCAGTGTTATTTCTGTTCAATTACAAACTTTTAAGTGAAACTTAGCTTTAAACTCACCAACAAATCCGCCTCCATAGATCCAGACGAAGACCGGAAGCTTCGCAGCTGACGTCATATTCTAGAAGTCAAGGGAAGAGAAGATGAAGATGAAAGGGAAGATGAAAGAGAAGATAAAACTTACAACCGGTGTAAATACATTGATGTACAGACAATCCTCTTGACTGTTCGAGTCCCATTGTTGGGCACAAGCCGCCGCATAGCCTGTCGCATTGATGAACCCACGGGGATCAGCGCGTTGAGCTGACTAAATGGGCATTATTGTCAAAGTGCTGTAGTTCTATTGGTAGGAAGATTTGGCTAAATGGGAATTGTCTCGAAAAGTACTGTAGTTCTGGGGTTGCTATGAAGATTTGGCAGAAAAATAGTAAATAATTCTACCATAAAACGCAGTGATCCAATGGGTTTTTGAGCGTAAGGAATCCCGCGAAACGAGCGTCCATAGTCGTGCTCAATGCCTGGAATTTGGGAACTTTCTGCCTGCCTGTCTGTCTGCCTGTCTGTCTGTCTGCCTGTCTGTCTGCCTGCCTGTCTGTCTGCCTGTCTGTCACCGCCTGCCTGTCTGTCTGTCTGTCTGTCTGTCTGTCTGCTCTGTCTGTCTGTCTGTCTGTCCGCCTGTCTGTCTGTCTGTCGGTCTGTCTGTCTGTCCGCCTGTCTGTCTGTCTGTCTAAGCCATGTCTGTCCGTCCGTCTGTACGCGCGAGGCTTCCTGTGAGCCAATTTAAATGATTTTAAGTCCATTGGTCTTAGAATTACATATAGTTGTGAAATCTCGTTTTAAATCTCCAAAAAACAAAAAGTTTTGGTGCGAGTCGGAATCGAACCAGGGACGTGTGGGTTAGAGACCAACGCGCTCTCGACCGTGCTACGGCGACATGGAAATTACTCCAGGAAAAATCGCAATTAAAGGGGTTTCGGGTCGCCTTTAAGGGTCCTTTTAATACCATTGTTTGGTCATTATTCAGCCATTATTCAGCCATTATTTAACCATTATTTATCCATTATTTATTTATTTAAACCCATTGTTTGCCTTTTTCTAAACAAAAATCATCAAGATCCCGCTTCAAGCCCGTTTTACAAATCGGTTTTCCTCAATTGTCTCCAATCCGAAGCCTTTCCCAGCACCAACCCCGAATCGTCGCATTCACGGTGCCTTTATTGATTTGCAAATCGATGAAATGATCAGCGGAAAGGGAAAATTTCGAAAAATAGAGTAAAAATAAGGCGAAAACTTTGAAAAGCCACATAAATCGATAGTTTTTCGAAAGAATTTTCTCAGGAATTCCCCGAAAAGCCGTTTCTTATCAATTTTCAGTGATTTAAACGTTTTCTTTTTTTTTTTTTTTTGCTATAAACCTCGATTTGTTTTTATTCGAAAACTTTGAGTTTTAAAGCAATTTTTGAGCATAGAGAATTATAGAGAATTCGAGCCAATTTGCATGCAAATTTTCACTAATTTAATCACAAATAAACTCGATAAAATCCAAAAAAAAGGATTTTTTTTCATTTTTTTCATTTTTTTTTGTTTTTTAGAAGAATTTTTGCCTTTTTTTATTCGTTGATAACGAAAAATTCCTTTAAAAGAGCCTGAAATTAGCTTGAAAAGGTGAAAAATCTGATTTATTATCTATTTAAAATGCATAGTTTAGTTGAAATTATTGGTTTTTGAGGGTTTTTGAGCTATTTTATCGATTGATGCATTCTTTTGTGCAAATCGACCGTGTACTTTGTACTTTCCCCGTCAAAGCACCAAGATTTTAACGGTATTGATCATTCTGGATGTCACAGCGTACATTGGAGTTCAATTTACGAACCTTGACAGTTTTTAGAACTTTACTAGTTAGTTGTTGGCCGTTCAGGGGTGCTCTTTGTACTGTCTCCCGTAAGAAAGGACCAAAATTTTGAAGGCATTGCGCGCTTCTGGATGTCACAGCGTACGCTCAAGTTCAATTCACGTGCCTTGACTGATTTTAGTACTCTACTAGCTAGTCGTTGGCTGTGCAGAGGTGTTTTTTGTACTCTCTCGTAAGAAAGGCCAAAATTTTGAAGGCATTGTGCGTTCTGGATGTCACAGCGTACGTTCAAGTCTAATTTACGTACCTTGACTGTTTTTAGAACTCTTACTAGCTAATCTTTGGACGGGGAAATCTGATGGAGTGGCTAATTTTGCACAGTTTTAAAAGTTCTACCTGTCTTTGTAAGTCGTAACTCTTTCAAATAGTACTCATCGTAGTTTCTGGTCACTCAAATCTTTCTGATTTTTAATGCCTTGTCTTATCTCTTTATGGAAAAGCGCGAGACACGAAAATTTCGAAACTTTTTTATTTACAATTCTTCAAGGTCTGATTCATAGGTCTTTTCTCTTCTTTTCTCCTCTTTCTTTTCTTTCTTTGCCTTTTCCTTGTCTTATTTCTTGCAACATGAAAATAAATCGCTTTGTGATGTGAATGATCTTTGAAAATTGTCGAATTTCAGTGGAAGTCTTCAAAGAAAAAGATTGGAAGAAGGAGATTTGAAAGAATGATTTCATTTTGGAAACGCTTCTCCAAAAATTTGGCTTAATTACACATCATTGCTTGCCCTTCTGGCCTATCTTGTTCTCCTCAGCATGGAAATTGAGCAAAACTAACATTGCCATTGAATTCTCCACATCAAAAACCCGGGTTTCCTAATTTTCAGTAAAATTGGCTTAGTTCTTGACGATAGTTTTATGTTTTTTGGGTAATTAAACCGGTCAATATGATCGTAGATCTTCATTTAGTCGCGAGTAAGAGCATCAACTTCCTCTGCTAGACAAGGAAATGAACATCAACTTCCTCTGCTAGACAAGGAAGAACATCAACTTCCCTCTGCTAGACAAGGAAGAACACTAACTCCCTCTCTCGCTCGAATCAATCCGGATACACTTAAAGCATCCAACCACACTGCTGTCTCATCACAAGCAAAGACTTCCATAGGGACGCTTTATTCTGTTTATCAACAGAATCGTGTTATTTGTCAACAGTAGAATGTGGTTAACGATGGCCTTTTTAGAATTCGCTTGGCAATCTTTTGACGTGTAGTTGTAGCCGTGAAGGAAGAATTGGTGTCGCTTCAAGAATGACTTTTTTGGCTTCTTCCTGAATTCATCCTTTCGTGGCTTTTCTTCTGAAAGGAATCATTTCTGTGAAACGATTCATCAGCCAATCGTTCATCGGCAAAATCGACTCCTCATTCCAAAATGATTCGATGAGTCATCAGCTTCTTTCAGCTCAGCTTTCTTTCCGGAAGAATTCCTCGTCTTCCTAGTCTTCCTCATTTTCCTCATGTCTCTCTCCATGCCCTCCATGTTCTCCATGTTCTCTAAATCCTTGATTCCAAAATTTGTACATTTGCGTAGAATTGCCGATTAATTACAATACTTTAGCTTAGTCTTAGCTAGAAATTGTATAAACATTTTGATATATTCGTGTGCCAAAAGCTCCGGCATTTAGCATGGTACCCAAAATTCTTTATTTCGTAATTCATCCTTTTCCGCCACCTGACCTTTAAAATTTCTTTGACATTTTTTTTTCAAGTTTTCTTCAGTTTTCTTATCAAAAAACTCCTCAGCTGGGCCCCTATTTTGAGGCCACAACAAAAAAAAATGGTATCAATTTCCCTTTAAAATACACAAGTTGTTAATGCTCGCCTAGACAAATAGATTCTACATTGATAGACTCTCACAAATTCCTGATCTTTGAGAAACCGCCTGCTTGGCCTACGGATTTAATAGAATGTTTCGAAATTGGTGGTGATTTGGTTTGGATTTGGTTGGACTGGGCTGATTTGGTTGATTTGGATTCCTTTTTCTCTACACATTTGGTTCAGGCAACTCAGTCCTCTTTTTCGAGTAAGATTTATTCAAAAGTTAATCCTACTGGTTATTTCAAGGAGAGGTTCTTTTGCCTTAGAAATTCCGGATTTGTCGCGGTTTTGTCGGGTTTTCGATGGCAATCTATGCTAGCAATTTCTGCTAGCAAAAGCGTCTGATAGCAGAGGCGATTTGTGCGTACCTTTGAGGTATGCTAGCAGAGGTTCAACTCTCACTTTCTGGCACATGGTCTCTACAGATAGTCTCGGATTTCTGGACCGTCGGAGTTTTGGATCCGGATTTGTTGCGGCTTTGTCGCCGGGGGTTCACGGTTAGTTCAAGGAGAGGTTCTTTCGTTTTAGAAATCCCAGTCATCAGTCAGGTTCCAGTCATCTCTAAACTAGTCGCTGCCCATAACTCTTCCCCCAATAAGAACTGCCAGAATTTGGAATCGATTCCCCAGAAACTGGCGAGAGTCCAATAGTCTCGAAATCTTTAAAATGATCTTGTAGATGATGTTGATCTTGAAGCCCAGTGGATTTCCTAGTGGAGCTCTAGTGGATCCTCTAGTGAAGCCCCAGTGGAGCTCTAGTGGAGCTCTCAGTGGAGCTCTAGTGGAGCTCTAGTGGATCCTCTAGTGGAGCTCTAGTGGAGCTCTAGTGGAGCTCTAGTCATCTGTGTTATCTATATCTTATCTATAGTCGTTTACGAAATTCAGCCGCTAACGAATCAGCCGCTAACAAATCATTCGTTAACGATTTGAGGCAAACAATTTGAGCTAAGCTAGATAAGCTGATTTGCGTCTTGCATAAATAGTTTGAAATCAAAAACATTTGAATCAGGGGCCATGTTCGCAGAAATCGATTAAAAATTGTACACGACTAGCGAAAAATATCGATCATAACGATCGATCGATCATAACGAAGGAGCAAAATGAACGCTGCCAAGTCGACTTAATTGATCTTCAATCGGTTCGATACGAATGATTCGTTAGCGGTACGAATGATTCGCAATCGGCTAGCCGTTAAGGAATCATTCGGAATCGGCTAGCCTTTAAAGAATCATTCGTAATCAGCTAGCCGTTAAGGAATCATTCTTTAACAGCTAGCCGTCCAAATCATTCTTTAGCAGCTAGCCATCCGAATGATTCTTTAGCAGCTAGCCGTCCAAATCATTCTTTAGCAGCTAGCCATCCGAATCATTCTTTAGCAGCTAGCCGTCCAAATCATTCTTTAGCAGCTAGCCGTCCAAATCATTCTTTAGCAGCTAGCCGTCCGAA